CCAGGACCTCAGCTTGCTATTTTTGACGTTTCTAAATTAAATTCAGAATTTTCAGAAGCTTTACAATGGTTTATATGGCTTCTGCTATAAAATAAAGTTTTGTATTATACACGACCATAAAGGGAAACTAACCATCTCCTGAATTAACAATAACTCAAAGGTTAAAATATCCCTTTATAGTCTTGTATAATAAAAAACTATTAGTGAATCGCTGATAATTTGACATGTGGGGTACTTTCCTTTTCCTTTCTAGATTGATAAGGAATATAGTTGATCTCGCAGGGAAAAGGAACCCGGCGTTTAGTCCTAGAAACACCACTGTGTCACTGTTTCACTGAATAACTAGACGTTTCGTGAAATGACAAATTTCGCTACAAGATTACGATAGAGGTGTAGGTATATACTGGTACCAGCACGTAAGAAGGCGAGAGAGGGTCATGCAGATATGACCAATGTATAGAGTCGCAAAAAACTGAGCAAAATATTCATCAGTAATGTCAAAAATTACAGTTTATGCCTAATACCGGTTTAAATTTTATGCTATACATTTTTAGCATCTGTACAAAATCCCATAATAGCAAAGAAATTATGGGTATATAATTTACTATCTTTTATCTATTACATTATAGACCGTGAGAATATGAACAAGTTAAAAAGTAATCGTAAACGATTTACATAAAGCGCATTTCCACTTGCATTCATTTCCCATTTGTAAGATGCAACTTCTATAAAATCGTAAAAATCCGACCACAAATATGAAAGATAGCGTTGCACATGGGCAATCCATTTTTGTCGTGCTACTTCAATGTCAGTTTATGAGAAGAATTTCATTTCAATGCTTTTCTAAATAAGAAAGTTGGGACTGCGCATGCGCAAACCTAAATTTTGAAACTAATGTTAGATTTTCCTTTGTTCCAAGCGCCTAAATATCAAATTTCACTTAAATGCTTCCATAGATAAAAAGTTGGCACTGCGCATGCGCAAAATAAAATTTTGAAACTGGCGCTAGATTTTCCTTTATTCCAAGTGCCTATGTATCACATTTCATTTAAATTCTTCCATAAATAAAACAGTTGGCACTGCGCATGCGCAAAACCAAATTTTGAAATTGGCGTTTGATTTTCCTTTATCCCAAGTGCCTATGGATAAATTTCGTTTAAATTCTTCCATAAATAAAAAAGTTGGCACTGCGCATGCGCAAAACCAAATTTTGAAATTGGCAGTTGATTTTCCTTTATTCCAAGTGCCTATGTATCAAATTTCATTCAATTATAAGTAAAAAATTTTGCAATTCGGTTTATAAATGGTCGAGATGCGATAAGGGCACTGTGAATTTTGAATCGATTCGATTCAACTTTTGGCATTGCGTATTATATGGCTAAAGCTATGCCCATATTGAATTTCATGCAATTCAGTTCATTACTAACGGAGATGTAAAAGCGATCGAACTTTTCTAAACAAAGTTATCGTTCACACGGGCAGATAGATGGACAGATAGACAAAGGAATAGACGGACAGACCAACAGGCAGACGACAGATAGCAATGCAAAATTATAAACGATCTCTAGGATCGTTAATAAACGGCAAAAGTGTAAAATTATTGAACATGTAAAAAAACGGTTTTTTGTTTTTTTTACAATAACTTTTTTTGTAAGCGGTACAGAAAAAATTCCTTCCTTGGTACAAGACTCGACATCATAACAAACCAAATAGCGAAAAAAGTAGAACAATAGCTCTTAAGATAAAGAACTAGTAGCGTCGCAAAACGAGCGGACGGACGGACGGACAAAGTGGTCACAATAGCGCATTTTTTGTTATTTTTGTGGAAATGCGCTAAAAATGACTTTAAATTTGTAGGTAATACATGCAAGGTTACTTTGATTTTTAGCGCATTTTTAAAGAATTAAAAAAATTGTGCTATTGTTTGCGTCTTGTCCGTCCGTACGTCCGTCTGTTCGTCTGTCCGGGCTCACTTCTGCTGTTTTGAACTACTTTTAGGGGAATGGTCCTAGAGTCCTGGACTTTTTTGCAATCTGTAGCCTATATGTATCCAACTACCGCTCTACTTTCTGAATCCTTATCAAAAGAGAGGATTTGGGGGGGGGGGGGGGAAGCTGGTTTACCCTTCATATGGTACTATAATGAAAGATTTCAACGAAAGGAATTCATTTCTACTAACCATAGCCCCCTTCTCGACTCCTTATCGTGATCGGATATAAATAATTCCTTATATCTCAAGAACAGATTGTCGGAGGATGGTACTCACAATTGGCGATTGGGACGTCTGGAAGAAATATATTTATTGGTGAAGTTTACGAGGGAATATCTCGAAAACTCTTTGTCGGAGGAAAGTACCCACAAAGGCAAAATGAATGTCTGGACGAGACGTATATCTATTGGTGAAATCTCCCCATTAATCGTCTCACAAGAAAGAAAACATCAATAAATATAACATGCCCCTACCTTTTATATAACGCAACCATTTATTAAGTTCTCTCGGTTTTAAAAAATGCGCTTTATCTTCACAAGAGTTGTACACAATTTATACTTGTTAGATTTTCCTGCGTTTTATCACGATCCTCTGTTGAGATGAAGATAGAATGTTGGTTAATTTGGCCCGGATGTGACATTGAACAAAATTATAGTCTTATGTAAAATTTAAAACAATGGTATTCTTATTAATTACAAACCTTCATAATCATTATATAACAATGTTCATATTGGGGTTGTAAAAATCGCTACAATTCTCTATACCAGTGTTTCTTAATCTGCGGTCCGCGGACCCCTGGGAGTTCGCGAGTATGCGTATGGGAGTCCGCCGTCGTATCTATGGACATTTGCAACAAAGCAGCACCAACCTTCACTTTGATACAGTATTTTTAATTTTTATAAAAATGTACATTTTTCAGTACTAAAATAAATTGTCCGAAATTTATTATTTTTTTGGTTGTGGGGGGTCCTTGAAATTGTGCTTGATTTTCTAGGGGCCCGTGGACTGAAAAGGTCTATAGGTACCTACTATTGTGTATTGGTTTAACCAAAGGCCAAAATAAGAACGGAATTCTGCCGAGTGGCTAACAATAAACGAAAAGATTTCCTTTAACAAGTTACCGTAAAACCGTAAGTGACTTATGTAGCGGCGTAGCGGTTAAGTACCGTACAACCTTTATTACGGAACCATAAATCTTGCGTTACATGTGTAACTTTCGCTGCATTCAAAACACAAAAGTACCTGGTATTACAGGTAGTTAATCTGTGCCTAGTATATTAGTAGGTCGCATATTAAGTAATATATAATTGAATTTATAGCAACCCATATATTAGTATTAATAGGGTGGGTACAGGTGGGTACTTTTGCAAAATAATAACATTTAAATAAATACCTAGGTTGCCTAGCTTTAGGAAACATAAAATGTCCTTGTTTATGAATGAATCGACCAATTTGTTGGTCATGCTTTAAAACAACAATTCGAAGGTAAATCCTTTCTTACTTTTACCAGCCGATACACCTACTCACAAATCACCTCGACAAAACTTTCCAGTTATTAACGAAAGTACCCGCACTTGTACAACAAGAGACCTTATCAAAAAGCCCTTGTGAATCCGACGGTTAATATTAATTAGATATATTACAAAACTAGTTAACAAGATTTTTAATTTGAATAATATATAACTTTCTAATCAAACGCGATTAATTAGTTTATGCATAAACGAAATATTAATAGAAATTCAAATGCGTGTATCTATGCGGTTGTAGTAGGTAGGTACCGAAATATCTCTCACAATCTGATTATATTGCTTATTTCCGAACCTAATTACGAATTAATCTAAACAAATTACTCTTATTACCCGACTATCGTTTATCGCTAGGTCTTCGGATAAAAAGAACTCGTCCGTAAAGCGGATATACCCGCTCATTTATATTTCTACGGTAGTTGTCGATAAGGCACTGATTGACTGTACCCAAAAGTTGTATATTTGTGTCATTTTACCTATTGGTGATATCGCTAAGAGTGAAATAATCGATAATCTGGGTTGGTAGCAACCTGATACAAAGTTTACGGCGGATGAAGTCGCTTCGTATTTTCTTCCCCTTTGTAAACAGATACAGGCTGTTTTACTTTAATACGGAACTTATTTTAAATCTATTATTAGGTAGGTACATGTAGGCACATGTACGCAAAAACTTTATTGTTTCGAATGTATTAAAATTTTATTATTGTTATAATTTATAAATTTATAGTCCTGTCTTAGTGGACATTATATATATATATATGTCAAAGGGAACTTTCGCAATTTTATTTTGTTTTGGTTTACCAACAGTTATTACTTTGAAATTAAACCATCAAATTCGATATTTTATACCATTTTTGTTAAACTTTTGGAGTTTTTTGGAGCATTGAATGCCTGTAATTAGTGTTGTTTCCTATAATATACCTATATGACACAATAATTGCCCATAACAAAATATTGCAATAAAATAGAAATAAAACTAGAAGACTTATCAGCACAATGATAAGAGAAGTAATTATACAGTGATACTTATAGGTACCTAAATAAGTGGTATGACTTTTGGCACAATTAAAGTGGTCCATCTGATTGTCATCAGTAGGCAAATCACGACTTATACACGCAGCACTATTTTTAAAGGTCATCTTTCAACCAGCAAAAAATGAATATCATTAGGTAAGCCGCGTTACGAATGAAAAAAACCTCGTAAAAACTTCCCCGTAATTTGGGAAACCACACTAAAACCACATTTGAATAAACTATCCGTTCGCTTTTGCGAACTGAATTAGAGACCGTTGTACCTACTTCAAATTCGAGAAATAGTCTCCTGACCTAAGACAACAAGTATGCCATTGACCTTCGATACTTGAATATATAACCCAGTTACAATATTATCGATTTGAAAAAGTAATTTTTTTCAATTAACAAATATTCATCATTGTATCTAATACAGTTATTTTAATAAATAAAGTAGGAAAAAGCGTACCTACCTTATTCAATGCGGCAATTCGGAGGTGATCCAGGCCCGAGGTCTTTGACGGACAGCTACTGTCACTATCGGAATCTTGACCAATTTTATTCATACTTAAACTTGCCATTTTTGCGGACTCGAATGAAACGTTTTTTGAAATGTTCCCACAAAACGACACCTTCCCGATATTGCTGCAATCAAACTCAAATATGAATTGTGTGAATTTACGCTTGCGCTTATATACCTACTCGCGTGATATCAAGTGTATGCCCGCGCACCTACCGGAAGCATCGGTATTTTAGGTTGTCATTATTGACATTATTAGAAAACTTATTTTTTAAAAATGTTTTTTTGTACATTTTAATGAATTAAATTAATCGATATTTGGATAAATTGTGCAAAAGATTCGTCACATTAATTTGACGTAAGCATACCTACTACTAGTAATGATGTAGGTAATTATGACGTCGTCATAAAACAGTGCTCGCATCATGAAGAACTACTTACCTACCCCTATAAAATAGTTATAATACCCAATGTTTCAAAAATAAGAAGCTTCACGATGGGATAGCAGCATCGCAACATTCAGTTTGTAACTTTTGCGTATACGTATTTTGTGTAATTACTTTTCATAAAAATTTTGTGCCATTATTGTTTCCGAGTTACCTACCCATATTTTTAGAATTGAACGCCATTCGCCCGTTGTTATATGAAATGTTTTTGTACAATTTGCCCTATTTCGCGCTTCTCGTTATTATGGGTTTGGGTGACCTACTTTTTAGAATAGATTCCCTCGAGGATTCCAACTTCACCCGCGGTACAGCTCCATCAAGTTAGCCCCCGCAATTTAAAAAAAAATGTGTAATGATCATTTTTATATAGTGCTAGGGTTGTGCTAAATTGTGCTGATTCCATTTTAATTTGTGCTGATCTGGAAAATCAATTTTTTTTTATTGAAACGCGGGGGCCAATTTGACTCCCAGCCCCCCGGTTTTTTTAACGTACAAATTCCATTACTACTTTAACGAGTTGTGCTCGATGCATATTGGATTGTGCCGGCCAAACATTCGAAAATAGTTTTCCGGTACACGGTAGTTCCTGCACTCAAATCTCGGGGGCCAACTTGACTCTCAGCCCCCACGTTTTTTAGAAATATGGAATTCTAAATAAGGTCAATCAATTGTGCTCACTGCATATTGGATTGTGCCGTTCAAATATTCGACAATAGTTTTACGGTACACGGTAGTTCCTGCGTTTAAATCTCAGGGGCAAATTTGACTCTCAACCCCCCGGTTTTTTTAACGTACAAATTCCAACACTACTGTAACGAGTTGTGCTCGATACATATTAGATTGTGCCGGCCAAATATTCGAAAATAGTCTTCCGCTACATGGTAGTTCTTGCACTCAAATCTCGGGGGCCAACTTGACTCCTAGGGCCCACCTTTTTTTTGCAGATGTGGAATAAGTAATAATGTCAATCGTTTGTGCTCGATGCTTACTGAATTGTGCCGTTCAAAATTTTGAAAATAGTCTTACGGTACCCCATAGCTCCTGCACACAAATGTTGGTGGTCATCTTGACTCTCAGCCTCCACGTTGTGTATTCACGAACTGTGCGCTCTAGAGGTACCCGTAGATTCTTCTCTACGTCTACGGCCACGAACGAAATAAAATGAATGTATGTTTGATGATATCAAATTCTTGTGACCGATTCTTGATTCTGGATTACGATAGGAAGGAAGACAGGGTCCACGCGCACCTACGTCTCAAATTCGGGCCCTTTGTACTACCTCTCTGACTAGATTCGTTCGACCTCTCAACGTCACTCAAGCCATCCCACACGTGAGATGAACCTAAGGATGCTGGAAAGGAAGACGGTTCTAATCATCGTAGTCATGTCTGGTCAGGACACCCGTAACATGGATCGTCTGAGTTGGACTAGAGCGAGCCATTCAACAAAGTATATGGTGTGCCGTCTCATCGTCCGTGTAACTTCCTCTACAAGATGGTGATTCTATCCCTCTTTCCCTCATTCGGTTCCATGTGCCACGTTCTTCGGCTCGTAATGTATATACTTTCAATTGTGCTAAGGCCAATACAAACTTACTTTGTAAATCACCAATATTTGTTATGGTAAGTAACTTTAACAAAATTGCTAATATGTGTGACATTAACACTTGCTCAGTATCTGATCTTAAAAGATTGATGGAATATTTTTAATTTTGTTTAAGTTTAATATCATTTAATTTGGTTTTTATTAGGTTAGCGGTTAAGATATTAGTATATTTAGTTATTGTGCTTTCTTAGATTAGTAATTGTCCTATAATTGGAATTTTAATATGTTGGGCAATAAATCATACCCTGTGGAAAAACGCCCCAGGTTACGAGATCGTCCTTTGAAGGGTTCTCTCGCATCGCGACAATCTAGCATCATGTTCCATCTAACCATGTGCTGGGTTTAGGTGTCCTGAGTTATTCAGTTGTTTAGAGTTGCAGCTGTAAGTGGGAGAGCCGGCTCTGGACCATAAAACACCTGTTTTGAGGTCAGTCGGGCTAACCCATCGGCTTTCTCATTACCTTCCGTTCCAGCATGCCCTTTGTCAAATTGGCCCCCGCGTTTCAATTTAAGGAAAAATGATTTTCCAGATCAGCACAAATTAAAATCGAATCAGCACAATTTAGCACAACCCTAGCACTATATAAAAATGGCCATTACACATTTTTTTTAAATTGCGGTGGCTAACTTGATGGAGCTCCGCGGTACATGTATCCTCGATGTTGTAAATTATCGTTTTGTGTCTCAATTTTGTGCTTATTGTATGCGGCATGCCGTATGATACAAATTTTGTGCCGCTATACGAGTACTTTTCGAGATATTGAAACTTATCGAATGAACTCGTACGTCTAGACTGAATGCTGTGAAATTGGTAATCTTGACTTTACAATACAGAGTGTTAATATTAATGTCATGCAGATATTTCAGGGCATTCAGGGAGTGACAGTACCAACACGTCAACATAAGAGAAAATGCAAATATATGCATCGTCTAGAAAGCGTCATTTTCGTTATACAGGCTGACAATTTTTCTCGTATTTTGCGGCTTCTGTTTTATCAAAGAGTACGGTTACTCTTTGGTTTTATGTTCAGTGATAATTATTTAAAGTTTTACTCATCAATTATTTTTTAGAATCTCTACAACAGAGTTTATTAACATACTCGTATTTGAACGTTATCGAAATCTGACGACTACGTCATCCCTAGATCAGATAGAGGTTGTCGTTGCATGGGATAGTCATACCCATTAACGTAACGTTTTGCTCCCCCCTGATTCATGTATATTTCCCGGTATTATGGTCAGTTTCTCCGTCCGTCCGAGGCTTTAACTACTCCTACAGTTTTCAAGACTTTTTTTGCATTCAGTAGCTTATAGCTCTAGTACCTCAGCAAAGAAAAATCTTGACAATTAATTTGCGCATGCGCAAACTTCGCAATGTCAACTTTTTCATTTATAGAGATATATATTTTTGAAATGTTAACCACAGATATATTACCTACTTCTAGTAAAGACAAGCATATCGCTATGGTAAAAATAAAATGTGCGCATGGGCAAACTGCGCAATGTCAACTTTTTTATTTAGAGAGATATTTTTTGAAAATCTCATCAACAATTATTTTAGTAAAGGCAAATATATCGCATATTTTAAACATGAAGTGTGCACATGCGCAGACTGGAATGCTAAGTTTCTTATTTATATAGTGTCCATTTTCCACCGTGCTCCAAAATTCCACTACCTATATCAAACGCGCCCGCACGATTACCGTTTGCGTCGCTTAATTTGGTATGTATATTTTATCCTAAAGGTATATTCAGGACGAGGCTCATTTCGGGTTTAATGGATTTAAAATAAGCAAAATTGGCCAGATTGAAATTCTGAAAATCCACAAAAGGTTATTATCTACTATCTATACAATTTTGCTATTTGGTTTGCTCTATGGATTTAATGAGTTATCGCCTTATCGGATTATCGGGCCATATTCCTGCAGGAATAACAGGTACTGGACGGTAAGTTACGAACAATGGTGAATGATGGCAAGAACCACGTGTAAGTACCAAGTACGATAAGACGATAACCAACTTTTCCGCGCTGTTTGGTTATTTTCTGGTGGCAGCTGCGATGCTGAAACGCGACTCTGCTTTATTTGGTAGGACCTTTAGCCTGTACTGTGCCTTTATATAAATTAGAAGGATATATAATTTCCACTTTCGTGTACCTACTTACTTGTTTATCAGATAATAAAGAAAATTATAACCATATCTACATACTCGGAGAGATAGCGAGATATCCCTGCTGGACTACTCACATTTTAAGCTCTTGTATCGGTTTATCCTTCAACAAAGGGCAGTTGTACTTAATTATCGCTATTGGATAATTTTGTCAGTTAAATATTGAGAGCTTATGATGAGCTTACTCAAATGTAGGTGAAAATAATCAAATAAATTAATATTATAAACATTTTACATTGCCTTCTAATTTAACAAGTAAAATAAAATAAACAAATATCGCAAACGAGCTCCTGGGTATGGCTATATAGCATGTGCAAAACCAAATTTTAAACCTGATGTTAGTTTTGAATTTTATTTAAAGTATATATGTATGAAATTGCATTTAATTGCTTCCATAAATAAGAAAGTTGGCGCTGCACATCCTACACAAAACCAAGTTTGGAAAATGGCGCTACATTTGCTTTTATTCCAAGTGGCTATGTATCAAATTTCATTTGAATGCCTCCATAAATAAGAAAGTTGGCACTGCGCATGCGCAAAACGGGATTTTGAAACTGGCGTTAAATTTGGTTTTATTCCAAGTTGCTATGTATCAAATTCCATTTAAATCTCTCCATAAATAAGAAAGTTGGCACTGCGCATGCGCACAACCAAATTTTTAAACTGGGTAAATTTGCTTTTATTCTACGTGGTTATGTATCAGTTTTCATTTAAATACCTTAATAAATAAGAAAGTATGCAATCCGGTTTATAAATGGTCGAGATGCGAAGAGGGCACTGTGAATGCTGATCGATGAGGCTCAACTGGAATTGCGTTTGATATGGCTAAAGCTATGCGCATATTGAGTTTCAGGCAATTCGGTTCATAACTAACGGGTATGTCAAAAGGGCCTTCTTTATTTTTTGGCCTACATTGCCAATTCACGAACTTCGA